GTTTTATATCTACATACATGTATTTAAAACAAAATACTAGTCAAATATGAAATTAAAAGGACACCAAGTACAAAATGCTGTTTTTTATTGAATAAATCCTAGCAAGCAGATTCTCGCCCTTCTATTAAAGCAGCTCATCATCCTATAGAATGACATGGAAATCAGAGTAATTTGATCAAAGTGGACGACTAGTTTCCTGTTTGGCTTCACCTAGTCTAATTATATTATACTATACGTGGGAACATGTTTACTCTTTATATATATATAATCAATTAAATAATATAACCTTAAAGAGACATACAGAAGACATACATGTTACACCATTGGCATCGTTTATTTGTTGTATCGCTTCCTTTCCCAACAATTTGTTTTCGTTTTAAATTGTACGTCTATAGATAAAGCTAGTTTTGAGATATAATCTTTTTTGTGTTTCACTGTCGACACAGTAAGTCAAAAATTAAAATTAAATACATAAACAAGCTGACTTCCACTTAATCTTTTGAAACATGCTTACACGAAATAACACATTTACCAAAAGAAGTTTAGCGCCTTCAAAAGTTCGGATCAGGAACAACAAAAAAGGGTTAATTCAATTCCACTCTCCGTTTGGCTATTATAAGGACTAAGACTAGTAATTATTTCCCCTTATTTCATGATGGACGAATGTAGTGCGAGTTATAAATAGACAATTTTTCCCTTAATTTTTTTCTCCCCTCTTCCTGCATTTTTGGGTTGACTTTTTGGTCTAGAATTGGAGAAAAGGGATCAAATTTGCAATTTCATAGCAGTTTTGGGTAATACTGATGATATTACAGCGGAGGGATAGGGGGTGTAAAGTGTCTTTCTGCAGAGCAATCATTGTGTCGGAAGTGAGATTTCCACCCCTGTCAACTTCAAATCTGTGTAGCAAAAAATCTAAATGGTCAACCCCCTACAAAATTATGATGAGGAGATTGCCAAATGTTGTCCCCATTGTGCCTATAAAGATTGGAACCAACGGAATGTTGAGCAAAAAGCTACAGCCTGTGATGTTACAGTCATTTAACATTGAAGTCAATGGGCAAATAATTGCTAGTCTGAGTCCATAAGTGACGCATACTTACCTCCTCGCATACGAGAATATACATACAGAAAATTTACTAATCAGAGATACGATAGGGATCTTACGATTACATGAATTTCTGGTATTCAATTAAATTTATAGAAAATTTAAAATATTTAATGAATATTAAATCTAAAATTCATTAACTTAAAGATACATTATGGGAGATAAGATAAAAGAGCTGGCAGTTCTCACTATGATAGTTAAAAACTAGATAATGTAAAGGCAATTTGCTGAAAATTTCAGTCAAATTGATCCACTATGAACCGAGAATTAAGCGATTGAAATTTCGGTCTAGCCTCGATCATCATTACTAAAGTCTGTACGATAAAAAAAACATGGTCTCGATCATCCATTTCATGATTAAATTATGAATGGAAGTCGAGCAGCAAATGGGATCATAATCCAGTAAATATCGCAGGCTAGCGATGCCATCGAGGGTTGATTATGGTCTGGATAAGTTAGTTAATGTATAAATAATAATTTAGATAACATTTCAGGCCTAATGAAAGACCTGCAATTGGCAGATTTAGCTCTTGCATAATGTATGTTTAAATATTCCATCAACACCAAGAACAGTCCAGTGAAGAACCTCAGTACATGTATTTTTATTTCTTACTACACATGTATAAGGTAAAAACAAATTCACCAGTACAAAGAACTTATGAAAATATATCAGCACGTGTAAATGGAAATCTCACACAAAGTTTAGTTTATTGTGCAAAAACGACAATGAGATAATAAGAATAGACGGTGCGTAATGTATTAGTACAGGTCGTATTTCTATTAAGTTTATCTAGAAAACAGTTCGAGGTTTTCCACTCATTCTCATATTTTATACAACTGTCAACGCTAACACGTATCAATGTTTCGGCCATTACCATTTCTCGTCGTGTTCATTTGTTTACCATGGTTACCTAATCACACAGTACAATGGTTCAAGAAATAAAAGATGCTTCCTCCAATGGCTTTACAAGAGATTCCTTAAAACTTTTAATAGGCTTCACATTTGACATTTTAAAACATCATAAATGTAATGAAGGGGCTAGACAAATCATCCCATTAAGCTTAAGTCATGGCTGCACGTTGAGATGGGACTACTTTTGGATAACTCTAAATTACAAACATTGGTTTAATACGCATTATATTACACCGGGATAAATTGCCTATAAATGTATATTATTATACTATATGAATAATACAAGAATATGTAACCGATAAATCATCAATATATCTGACAATTTTGTTGTAGTGTTATATTTTCTCATGCATATATATAATATTTTGATTCTTACACCCATGATTTTAATATAAAAAAAAACCAGTTCAGTGTTTTTATGATAAGATCATTTTTCACTTTCCGTAACATTGTTCGAGTAGAGTCAGCACCAGAAGTAGTAAATCACCGAAACCGGAAGTAGTGATGCAACGGCACCACGCCTACATCACTATTCGGCTCGAGTTGAGCTTATACCCAGAATTTTGGGACAGTCGTGGTGTAGCCGGAATCCCTCAACAGACAAACAACGTTTCATTACTGTTCAATAGTTTCGTTTTCATCGTGTTATCGAAGACCATTAACTTTTGTGCTCATAATATATCTGTTAAGATCTAAAGACATACAAAATATGTGATACGGTGCCTGTCAATCAATAAGACATAAAAGCGTAAACGATATATAATATAATTGTCACAAAACCTCTAGAATATAGTAAATATTATACTCATTATATTTGATTGATTGACACTCCTACAAGTAAAATTACACTATGATCATCGTGATCATAAAACCTTTAGATTACACATTATTCAAATATGTGGCAAGTTATGTGACATAAATCCATCTTTTATTACTAGAATGTAAATATTTGATATATATCATGTCTATCTCGAGTCTCGGATTGTCCAAATGTTTCAGTGGTCTTGAATAATAGCCTGCGCCATTTTAATTCGATATATTATACCAAAGAACTGTAATCTCAGTTAAGCTATGAGGGAAATGTTGCACGGACACTGGCGCTATTGCCCAATCGTATTTCGGGTTATTTTACGTGTGCGCCAATGGCCAATGTGTAGACGAGGTCTCGGTTTTTCAGCCTACCCGTATTTCGAGTTATTTTACGTGCACGCCAATGTGTACACGAGGCCTCTGTTTTTCGACTTATCTGAACAACTATACGTTGTCCCTTGCCAGACCCTCCGTTCTACACCACTTACAAGGTGGTGCACGCCGCAAAAAATCCAGATTAACCTTCTCAACCAAAGCAGGGATCGAACACGGGACCTCCAGGTTAGCGAGTCTACGTCTTGCTCGATGAGGCACCACGGCTCCCTCATACAAAATGTAGGTGTTTTCAGATATAGTTTGTAGTGTGGTCTCGGATAAAGTTTTGGCCGTGCTTTCAGATAAAGTTTGCGCGGTGATCTCAGGTAACGTTTCATCTATGATTTAGATAATGTTTTATCTGAAATTCTCGGGGTCTTATATAAAATTTGGGCTGTCATCTCGAATAAAGTTTGCACTGTGATTCCAGATAAAGGCTTTGAGTAATAGACTCCGTGTAGCGTGGGATCTGATCCCAGATATAGCCGTATTACATGTAAAAAATTGTGAAAAAAAATATTCACCTTTTATATCCACAACTGGAAGATGGGCTGTCAACCTTCTTTAAGGCATACTTTTGTGGCAATCTTTATATATCTATAACTTTTCTTTCATTGGTGTTTAGTGGCTATTATCGGGTGCAAGGCAGGGTATGGTTACCCTATCATGAACCCCTTTTATTTAGGAGTTTTCTTAAGGAGCAAGTACACTTGCTGTCGTCAGCTGGCTTTGCATTTGGTTTTCCTTTTATTTCCTTTCTTTCCCGTTCGTTATTGGACAAAGTGCATATGGAATGAACATTTTAAACAAAAAACGGATATGATCAGCTATTTACTGTATATACATTAATAATATATTGATGTACATGAGAAATCTATCTATAACCTTATACACAACAGAAGGTGTCTACACAGAACGACATTCTAATATTAATAATAATACTGGTTAAATCTAGATTGATTTTTACAGTCACACAAGGGAAACATTGTGCTATCTGTAACGGATTTTTTATTGATAAATAATATCGTAATACCGCCTTGATTAGAAAACGGGTTAAAATGAAAATATTTATAAGCGGCAAGAGTGAAGATTATTGATTCTATGCTGGGCTAAGATTATAAAGAGATGGGAATGGCCGTCTATACAACCTCGCTCATTGACAAATAAACCCTAGGGCCAACTTGAGAGATAGTTTTATCTGTTGAGTAAAATAAACGAGTGACAATAACTAGTCGTCTATTAGTATGAAGTAGCTCCTATCACCATGACAATAAAACTAGTAATTTTACTCAAAGTATTTGTTCAATCCTTCTTCTAACAAACGACTACCCGTTATCTTCCACTCGATCATTTAGTCTCTTAGATTCTACTCACTTTCTGTTGACATGACAATTCACTATGTCAATACTAACTGCTAGAGATTGTTCACAAATAACATTTGAAAAAAAAAGAAAACCTGATTCGACTGAAAGGAAAACTCATTGAATTTTTTTATGATATTAAACAAAGAGAATTTATATGCGAAATTTGATTTTCCACTCAGTTTTTAATTATCAGTTATAAATATCGATTTTATAGTGAGGCAAATCGATTATATTTGAATTAATGCGTACCATGCTGTGAATTATAGCAGTGCCTTTTATATAAACTCTAATTTTAAATCATTATTGCCAATAAATCTTTCACATGAAACATAGGTAACGAAATATCATATTATAGAAAGTCTGTACTTTCTGATGACGTTAATCCAAAATCTGGTTAAACAACGTCATTATATTATTTCGCACAGTACGATGCTTCATATCCATTTCCTCTCAACTGACAAGATCTGCCAACGACCGAATTCATAGACAAGTAACTATCACAAAACTAACGCTTGTCAACTTGCAGCCGGGTCCAAACACTCCAATGTTTGGCGTTCTGCATTTGTCTACTTCCGAGCAAAACCACTCAAAACCTAAACTTGTCTTGCAAACTAAGAGCTGAAAAAAAAGTTGATGTAAAATAGGATACAAGTTAAACAGGTTAGTAAGTAAATTTTTTCTGGGGTTTTTTTTTTTTTTTTGTTGTTTTTTTTTTTTAAATGAAAGAAAACTGACACGTTAAATTTTAAAATCTTGTCTGGCACGATGATACAATCTAACTGAAAAGGTGAAGAATTTGAGTGTTCTCAGAATAGCTTTTCTCCTCCTACTCGCTGAACTTGAATATATTTAGGTGTACAGGTAGGTCTTTATAGAAGATGAAGTTTCGCCAATCATTAGTTGTTTTGTAAAACAAACCTGACAACTGATACTGTAAACACCGTAGTTTTCTTATCCTCGCTTCGCCGTCTTTCATCTTATTAAAGAGAGAATTGTGCCATCTGTCAAACCAAACTTATGTTTAATCTAAAGCAATTTATGTAAAATTCCATCTTTGTAAAAAGAAACTTAGTCAATCTCTGGTCAGTGACGTATTTCAGCAGTTACTGGGTTGCACATCATGACCATAGGAATATTTTCTTGTAATAAAATTTCTGAAAATACATTTTCAAAAGATGGTTATTCTGCCATATTCGTATCAATGGATTTTATATATTTTAGGGCTAGACGGAACAGAATAAAACGGATGGAATGGATTGGCAATTGGAGAGCAGTTAAAGGATGATTTATAGAATTCAGTGGAGATATATAAATAAATTGACAATTTAATATCGTCCAATTAAATCTCCAATAATGTCAATAGATTATTGAATAAATAGCTGCGAGGTATGGTGTGAGGTCATGAAAATTGGGAATTAAGTTGGAATCCAAATTTGAATTTAATCTAATAAATTTTATTGACCATATTTTCTACTGTAAATAAAATAGACGTTCTACATTCTTTATTTGTGATCTGCAAGCATTTGTCAGATATGGAATTGGTTTAACTCCATTTGCTGTTCAAAGGTTGTCGATATTTGATATGTGGCCAAATAGAATTTTCCGTTTTTACATATTGGTTATTTTCAAAACCATTGCCCTTTCTTAATTAGAGACTGTTCCACAAAACTGATTGCTAATGAACGTTGCTGAAGTAATGGGGTTCATGTAAACCATTGCTGTGTGTAGTACACTTGTAGGATGGAATAGCTATCCATTGGAACATATTATCCAGCTGTTAAAGTTAAAGTCAACCATGTTCTATTGACTGCGACCATCTTGATATTGACACAGTAAATAACGCAGTCAAACCAAATCAACTCCATCGCATTACTGTTTACTTTTACATGTGGGAATTGGGTTTTTACTGTTATGTTTTATTGGTGTTATCTGATGCAAGTCTATAATATAATTATACAGGGCGCAGTAATTCGAGATGATCTGCTCTTAGGATGCGTGATTGTCGACGATAGTGACAAATTTCTAACGATATCATAACGATTGGTAATTTGGTTTCCAAAGACTTTGTCATGGATTAATGGTTCGCTAATTACGCTTTGGATTGCGTTTTCCCAGATACATACAATTTCAATCCTCAATACGAAACTACATCAGCGCCGTCGTGGATTATCAATCTTAAAGTTACAGGTGCAACATAAATAAAATCAATAAGTGTTTTCCTAACATGTATATATTTCGTCAAGATCAGATAATAATTCTGGTCCCGAGTTCACAAAGTATTATGAGACTTACGTGTTAAGATATACTCAAAATTGTTTGCCTTATTCGAACTAAAATATAAGCCTTTATAAAACGTTTGGTGTTTTAATGTATCAAATACATCAATAAGAAACTATGTGCAAAGTTTTGTGTTTCTGGATCAAACTTATTTCTCATAAACAGTGATTGAAAGTTGAGTAAATTTTTAAATTAAGTCTGAGAATGCTTTGTGAACTCGGGGCCTGATCTTGAACATAAGGTTACGGATGTAAGGTGTTCAATGCAAAGAAAATCAATCGGACTTTGGTGCCAATTTATGAATAATTTTGGATACCGCTGAACTTATCAGGGATAACCAGAATAGTGCACTGTAGACGGACGAACGGACAGCTGAACATACTCGCTGAACATACTCTATGGGAATGTTTGAAAATGGATATTAAACACCACAGCTTTTGGCCTCCCAAGTTTATACCAGCTTCATCATTTCTGCAACTTAACTTTAAGGTTTTCACCGGAGTATCTATTTACGAACTGAAACCCGAGCACGGACACTAATCTTCAAACCATTAAAAGTCAGACAAGAGATAAATTAAATTTAAGTAATATTGAGACGAAATGGTGTTTCTTTTTTCCTAATCTTTAGTGTCGTCTATACGATATTTGATACCTGGATTTCCTAACGTCAATCTTACACGCAAGAACAGACTTAGGTCGTCAATTTTTAGAAAAAGAATTGTTAAAGTTAGAATCCATGTATACGTAGTGCGTGTGTAAGGCTGGGGTAAATGTGTACGTATATCCGTAATTCGAATGATGCGCATAAATTGCCCTCAAGAGTCCTCCGCCAAAATTTATAGTGCCTTGCGTGATATTCCTATTCCATGGCAAGGACTTTTTCATACACATGGATTCACCTGAGAATATCCCTCCGGGTTATAGCATGTGGTGGGATTTTACCTTGGTTTGATACTCACAAAGCGTGCACATGGGATTATTCCAACTCGTTTTCAATTAGTTCGATCAATACCCATCACGCACATTGAATCTCAGCCTTTAACGTATAAGTAAATCACATTGAAGATTGCATTAGCGTGATTATATGTTTGATGCGTATGTGTTCTTGAAATACAAATTTCTGCATGATTTAGGCCAACTATAATTTACGACTTTTGTAGGCTGGCAGGAGGTGGGGGGAGACTAGGGGAAAGATGTCGAGAGAATTCTGGGTACACTTTACATGAATATGGACACGAATTTATTCTTTTTTGTCGAAATTCACACACATTGTTAACAACGATGATTGGCTATTTTTTTAATAAATATAGTTTATTTAAGTATACATGTATATGCCTTATGTCGTCTTTAATATCCAGGGGCTTATAACAAACTTCATTTGTAGAAATAAAAACCAATAAGTCTCGCAACATTCTCCTTATATAAATCCGTTTATTAATATCGTTAAGACAGACGTATTGAACTTTTAGTTCTCATTAATCTGTCTATCTTTATATTCATGGCAGTTCCTCAAATATACCAGCAGTCATCAATACAGACTGAAATTGTTATACTAAGATAAGGTATGTATACATAATTATGCTATGAATTGTAAATATTTTCCAATAGTCTTTATAAGGCCAATGGTGTATATCATGGCTGGTTATTTCTGTCGAGGTAAATCAGAATTATCCACCGGGGTCAATATTACTGTTCTGTTCTATTAAGGTCTGTGTATATGGCATAAAATGGATTCCCTTATAAATTAAGCTTGTTCACATGACAGGAAGATATCGCTCAACCGTCCACTCAAAGTGTTCATTTTGAAACTTTTACAACCGAAACAGTATTGTTTATACATTCTTCGATTCGATGTCTAAAGCAAACTAAGCAAATTGGATCTCTAGGTTCTATTTGGAACAATGCTGCTTGCCTAACTCGCTTAGTGCGCAGAAAGTCTGGAAAATGAAAACATTTTTTATTGTCCGAGAGAGGCGCCAGGTTTCCAATAAATGAGCACAGATAATAATAATTTGTAGTATCGCGATATTTTATGTGTATGTAACTTCTTATTGATGAAATGTTTTAAAATGAAGCATTGCTTAATTTTTGATCCAAAATATGTAATTTACGGTCAATTAAACTAACATCTTCTTTTCTTGCGATTTACGGTAGATTAACCAAGACAGTAAATGCTGGTAACAACTTAGCTTTGCTACTTTACTCTTAATCACGTCAAGATGGTGGCTCGTGCAAAGGCCCGCCACCTGGTCATCTGACAAAGAATTGGTATTATTTGATTGATGTGTATAGGCAACGTTCCAATCAGTCGTTCTGTACACAATAACAGTCGCTCTCCTTAACCTAACCTGACACCCAGATAACAAAAAATTTATAGAAAATAGACCCAGAAATCAATTTGGCTTTGTGTAAGTCGGTTGACGAATTAAATGATACGGTTGGTATCTGTTTACCTTCCATAATTAGATACTCACCTAGAAATCTTAGATAAAGAAAAGGATTGTCGATGATATTATTAGGTCGAATAATAAAAATTCTTCATTAGCTGTAGTCTCGGTTCCAAGTGTAACGAAGTCGATCATCTAGATTCACTCCCCAACCAGTTTGGGTGGGTTCTTTGTACATAATAGAACTCGAGTGAATCCGCAACTGTTACGAGTCTGTTTGGTTCCTGTTTTCATATGGAACCTATTTTAGCAAGCTGCTTCACTATTTTCATTGTCTTTATGTAACTTGAAGTTTAAGAGCTTTTCAACAAACCAACTACTTAATACTAGTATAAATCTTTGATTTCGTTTTGCATTTCTTACTTATTAACTTATATATTTAAGATATTGTTACAGTCAAGTATTAGAATCACAAATAACATACAAATAACATATAATTATACTATTGTCATTTATTACACTGAAATTGAAAAACATAAATTATATGGATTACGTATTACTCCAGGAGTAAATTGATATTGTATATTCATTTGACATTCATTTAATATTTTATGTTTCTTACAATACTTTATATTTTTTTTTATTACCTTCGACTTTTAGATAGCGCTATATGGTATTTAAATTTAATTATGCTGACATATCCCGAAACGGTTATTATTAATTTAATGACAAAAACAAAAATCTTGTTGCCTTGGCAACATAACCACGTGCTTTTATATCTGGCAGAAAATCATATTCACTGACAAAGTGCTAAATTCTAGGGTTTATAACTTGATGGACGCAGGTTCCAAGTTTTAATGGTTAATTAACTTATTTTCTTTTCGCAGACACCGCGGAGAATTAAACTTTGCACGTGACAAAGCTAATTAGAAGGGCGAGTCATCGTTTCATTTAAAATGTCGAGTGATTATTGTACTTTAATCCGATATTAGAGTACCGGTCTGATCAATCGAGGAAATTACATGTAACACCTTCATCTGAACATCTGGTTAAAAAGTAATTCATGCTAGTCAAAGGTGAATTATATATTTAGGCAACATATGTATAACACATTCAATATGAACAATATATTATTTATGTCTGAAACATTGACCATGATGAGGAAGGCGTGTTAATAAGACTGTCGTCAAGATGTAAAGAAACTAACTAACAAGATGTTACTAAAATAGTCAATCGATAACGTTCCGGAATGTAATCGAAAATATCAGCACTTAGAGTGATTAACTTGTCGAGACTGTCAGATTATACTGTAGACAGTACCACACAATATACATAACAAAATATTAAGATGAAAAGAGGAGATATAGAATGTATTTATCATATTTCAATTAGCCAGAAAATACTACACCTCTATATTATACACTAAATACTGTCTGTAACTAGTAGCAACCACTTGGCCGCCATATTGATGAAATTTCGACCGGAAGCTGGATGAAATTACACTAGCCGCCGTTTACTGGTAGCGTCGTCGTCTACTCACTGCTTCATGTTAACCAAAGTTCAAACGGTCACATGGAAATCATTAAGCATTGTGCGATTCGTCATCTGAATGTCATTTTCCACATGGAATAATAACAATAAAGCTTTGCCCCCAATGCATAATACACGAAGATTTTTGTCTTTAATCGGAGAGCAGAGTACCAAATGAGATCTGCAATATGATTTTATATGTTTATGATTTTGGAATACGGCCATTGATAAAGCGATGCCAAGTTATTACATAAACAGTGCTCCCATAGCTAAAACAATAAACAGACTATATAGATGATAGAACTGGTG